AATTTCGAGAGGACCCTGTCGGACCCACTCCCAAGTTACGGGGTTGGGATAAAGTCGGCGGAAAAAATGGAAACATTGCACGTGTGCAGGTGGCTACCACATCACCTTGGCCCAAGGCTCCGAAGAGGTCAGGATTAACTAGAAGCTCTCCACTCAAATATTTCTACAGACTCCACTCTCAACTTAATTCCACCTTTAGGAACTTCCTCACCATCTTGATATTCGCCCTACTGATGACATCTAGATAGTACATTGCTGAAACCACACGATTCCTCCCATGCTTATTTACACAACGATAGTATCCGGTGATGTTGCGGTCGACATTTGTAATCCGGAGCTCGTACCGATCACCGACACGAATTCTGGCATTATCTCGAGCAAGGAACCTAAATCGGAAATCCCAGTACGATACTGATTAAATGACCCAGAGCTCTAGGCCTAAACAACTAACCGCTTCACTTTATCTGCGATTTTCTCCACTCTTATACCAGTTTCATGCATTTTTGTAAGTAACCGCCAATCTTGGCCCATAATGGCCCGTTGCCAATCATACTTCCACTTGTTCACATCTCGAATCTTATTGGTAGAACGGAGAATCTTCTGGAAACAATACACCTTGGCAGTAACCTGATAATAAGTAGTAAATAAATATGACTAGCCTCCTTGAAAAAGTCAAAGGCTGCTATGAAAGCTCTGCCGATCGAGCCTGCCGACGGTTTGTATGTTGATTCTATTTCGATCGCATTCTCAGGTGATACACTGAATTGTAGCAATGGCACTAATTAATATGATCTGACTGATGATCTTTTCGTAATCCCACTCCACGAAGACGCAATTGATGATTTTCAAGATGAGGTGGCTTTGGTTACAGTGAAACGGTTATTAGAATGGTAGAATGGAAATTCCGGTCGATTTATTAAATCACTTTCAGACTCATATCCCCTTGTTCAGTTCAGGAAATGTGTCGTATTCACGAATTTTCCTTGACGAAACCCTCTTTTTTGCTATGACAGCTTTTTAACGGAAACATCGCTTCTTTTTTCATTTTTTTCACCAATTGTAACAATATAAACATTACTGTATGGTAAGGTTCAGCATTGAACACTGTGATTATGTAAAAAAGTTGTTGTTTAAAATACGTCAGATCAAAACGCACCATGAGAAGCAGGGCAACGTTACATCTGCACCTTTAGCCAGAGTCACAACCTGGAAACAACTTTCCGTCAGTTAATATAGATTGAAATAATCTCAAAGAAACGCTATTGTGTGATCAGAACCACTTCAGATTATACGAAGTTCCATTACTTACGGTACTGACCATTCACTTCTGGCATGGAACGGCCCTGATTAGCATCCCTATAGGATGGCCTGCGAAGATGATTTACAACCAGGAGTCTCCTCTAACGATTCCACGAGGTCGACAAGACCGTGTGATATCGAAAGAGGAGGACCGGAAAAATGTAGTTCTTCCATCAAAAGCAAGGAAGATTAAAAGGTGATCCACATGAATAGTGAGTTTTGGCACGGTCAGCTTTATTTACCCGGTCACCCAGTCAGGTCTGAACCCATGAAAGTGATTCTGGAGGGATGAGACGTGACGTCGATTCAAAGGGATTCGAGCCCTCAAAAACTTATGTGTGATCAGTTTCACCTGTCCTTTATCGAGAGTACTACCTGGACATAGTTTGCTTCAGACAAGAGGCTTTCTCGTCGCTTTATACAGAGGCGATAGTCTTCATACTGTTTCTTCAATTCAACATTAATCTGAAAAAAAAGGATTGCCTTCACGGGGATTGACCAAAGTGTCCCAATGACCTAATCCAGCCCAGTGGTCATCCGAAACTCTCACGTTGGGAAACCTTCGATAAGAGAAACTACTACAGGTGATGCTTCTTGATTCAGAT